GGAAGCTGCATATGCTTTGGACGAGGCTAGTGCATGTTGAGGGGGGTGTGGAGAGCTATTTGATCTGAAGAGAGGTCCCCCTCAACATGCACTAGAAACAGCCTGTTCAAAATAAGGGCGGATTTTGTTAGTCTGCATGGGCTGGACGATGACCATCAATTCATGGTGTACTCAGTGTACTCGTTAAAATAACAACCCACCACAAGATACGAACTCGTGTTAGTTGCGTGCAACTGTGAAGAGCTTGACTATTACAGTGTAGACACCTCCCCCGTCTACCTTTGATGAACAGGCCGTTTCACCTCTCCCCGCACCCCCTTTTTCGACAATCTCCAAAGAACAAAAACGTCTTAAGAACAAAGAAGAGTAGAGCCGTAAAAAGAACATCGTCACTACGTCGTTGGAAAATAAGTGAAAGAGTACAATACCAGAGACCAGTGTACAAAAGCAAAATGCACGCAGAAAAGAATACCAAAGGCGAAGAAATGATTGGCCAACTTTATTCCTATTCGCCGTCAGTCACCTAGTTTGTTATTGTCATTGTTGTTGCTTCTGCTGCTGTCATAAATACAGCTATAGTTGTCATTCAGCTTATTGTAGTTGTTGCTGTTGTCGTTCTTCCTGTCATTGACTTGCGCTCTTGGCTTTACAATTTGCCCCTGCTGTTTTTGTTGATTTTATTGGTGTTTATTGGGTTTTGTTCATATTATTTGTTAATATTTTGGCGGAAAAAACGAAGAATGCATCAGGCTGTGGCAAATTCCACCTCCGTGAGATGGTTTTAGGCTGACATGGAGACACCAAGCCTGTGTTTTAGTGACGCCATGCTGCATGAAACAATGCCTGTATGTGTCTGTGACGTCATGAAACACTGTGAGGGTGTGCTCACAAGACTTGTCACACACAAGCCCACACAGACGAACCCGCACATGACGTAGCTCAGGGCCTGTAGAGTGTCCGGTCAGCCGGTTTGAACGCCTTCGGGTTGCAGGCGTCGGTGGTACAGCAAAACTGACAGCTGAGGTCCTGGGGGGCACCGGAAGTGCCGTCATACGTCTGGCATACGGTCTTATCGGAGGTCTGGTCATACCATTCCTGCTCACAAGTCACACGGTCCACGCAGCTACACGAAGATGGGGGGGGGGTACAACGGTGAATTGGATACAAGGGATGCGGGTGGAGTCGGCGGGGGGGGGAGACAATAGTGATGGAGATAGTATACATGAGAAGAACGGCAGGACAGGAAAACGGGGAAGGGGGAGAGGAGGTCAAGCAGGGTGAATGAAGCGGGTAGGGGAAGGGAGGTTGGAGAAAACGGTGATGGTGATACATGGCAAGGGGTTGAATGAAAAACGGAAGGGGAATCAGATAAGGTGAATGAAGGGGTGGGCGATATGAGGGGAGGGGGATGAGTAAACAGTGATAGGAAGGGTGCAGGCATTGTGAATGAAGCGGGTGGGGGTGGTGATGTTTAGGACAGGGATGGGGTAGGGTAAGGTAGAGGACGAGTGAAATGAGGACCGAGAAGGGAGTGGAGTGACACGATTGAAGAGTTGGGGAGGAAGCATGAGGGTTGGGAAAAGAAAAGTAATAAAGTTAATGCTCATGTCGCCGTGTTTGCTGAGTGAGACATACGCGCACGTATATTCACGCATATTATACCTACCTGCACATATAGATAGAACAATGACAATGACAAAGACAATCGATAATTTATCTCAAAGGGAGAAATCAAAAGTCTTGGTCGTTTACAATGGCAGTGGAATGTTACAAAGGTGCACTCACGCGTACACAGAACAAGACAGGACATTAGTAAATACATGTGTTACGAGCTGAAACAACCCATCCCGTAAAACACTCACTCTCTCTCTCTCTCTCTCTCTCTCTCTCTCTCTCTCTCTCTCTCTCTCTC